GATGATGGCTCAAGGTGGCCGAGATGCCGGTAATTGCTGGGGGCACTGTCTCTGTCCCCCTTTGCTCTTGTTGTTTTCCTTCGTCGCACCCTTTGCCTTTCCACAACAGAAAAAAAAGAACTTGTGAGTTGAGATTGTTGGATACAATTTCGGACGGCGTGCGGAATACGGGGTACCAACTGTCCGCGAGCAGTTGCTGGGAGGCTTTTAAATTAAATCGACTGCTTGTGATGAAACAGTTGGTTGATTCTATGAGATGAAAAAAGATGGACCAGACATGTTGGGAAAAGAAAAAAGCTCTGACAAAGCAGGAGTGAAAGGACCACCATGCTGTGGTTGCGAATATCAGATAAAGGAAGCATGGGTTGAACATGTGGGACTGTACCTGTACTGAGCCAGACATTTTATGATTGGATTGGACGAATTGGAGCGCATAAAGGTGACCTGGGGATTCATCTCCCCGGTTGTCAATGGCTTGGCTTGTTCCTGATGTTTCGATGTCCAAGCTTCTCGCTACTTCATGCGGTGTCTGGGCAGTCAAACTCATGGTCCCTGGTGTCGCCTTGTCGGAAGTAGAGGTGCATCCCTTTGAATGTGCGCAGGTGCGTTTATTGTACTGAACCGGGATGTGACCTAGTAAGAATACCACCTATATTTTAATATCAAATATTATTTTATATTCATAAATAAGAGATTAATTTTTTGTTAACAAGGTACTCTCAAGTTACTATAGAAGAGTCAATACGACCGCTACAACAAACACACCAGCGCACATTGAAAGAGATATACATGTACTCCGTACTCCGTGCGGGAGTTTTTAAAATAGAACATCCAACGCGGAAAGCTGCTGGGAGGAAGCTGTGGGTGGATCCCGTGCTGGGGCCTCAGGAACTTGTAGATCTAAAAACTCCTCCGGGGGGGGGGGGGGGGGGGGCCACAGGGCATTTTGCAGTTGGCCAGTGCCGATTACTCCTGTAGACGCCAGTTGACTCCAATTTGAGTACTCAAGTACGGAGTACAGACGTGGAGTGCTGGAGCCATCAATTGCGCGCTGCAGACGCTTGCGCTGGAGATTGTTGCCAACATTGAACATTGACAGCATTTGAAGCCCCCACGCCCGGCCCACGCCCCGGCCCAGATGTGGCCTAGTGCCAAAGTCTAGCGATCAAGAGCGCCAGACTCGCGCCAATGGTTCCAACAACCGGTCAACCAGTCAACCAGTCAACCAGTCAACCATTCAACCAGTCAACCAGTCAACCAGTCAACCACTTGACCAACTTGCCCTTGACTAGTTGACTCGACGTTTTCAACCAGACTCTCTCAGCACTTGAGCCCAATGCTCTCAATTCCTCTCGTCACCTCGCTCAAGGTGCAAGGCCATATGCATCGCATTCAATCCCGACCACGCCGCAGCTGAGCATCGTTGGCCTCTTCGCTCCGCCCTACCCTCCCTCTGCCGTGTCTCTCTCTCGCTCTGCCTTGCCGTCGGCGCACGCGATCCACTGCGAATCGCTGACCGTGCAGCTTGAGGCTTCCATCTTCCGGCTTCCTGCTTCGGCTTCCGCCCACACACTTCGCAGCCTCCCACGCGCGTCCCTGTCGCTTTCTGCCACCAACCCGTCGCGGCCTTCATTGCTTGATCCCGGATTGCTAGCCAAGCCGACCGAGGACGCCGTGTTAGCGTTGACGCTTCATACCGCACTCACCATTTTTTTTTTCATGTGGTAATGGAGGATGATGAGCATGCAGCCAGAAGCATGAGTAGGATCAAGCTGGAAGACGGAATCGCGAATGGGCTACCTGAAGCCATGGACACGGCCGAGTCAACGCCAGCGCACGGCATCAAGGGTGGTGCCTCGCCTGCATCCATCAATGGCATCAAATCAGAGAGCGACGGGGTGAATACGCCCGCCTCCGGAAAACCACGCTTATCGCGAAGATCTTCACAAAAACCCGCCGAGCCCGAACCGCGACTATTCAACCACCTCCCAAACGTTACCGAGGAGTCTTGCAAGTCCTTTCAGGTCATTCGAGACTGTCTCTATGGATCAAAACATCTCGGTTCTACCGAAAATGACGCTTTGGACTGTGATTGTGCCGAGGAATTTCGTACGTGCCAGAAAATTTTTATTTTATTTTATTTTTGGACCGGTCCCCGTCCCCCTTGTTGTTCCCACAGCTCGTTGCGCCTTCGACGCCATGTCGTGCTCAAAAGTCTTCGTAACTAACCATGGGCTGCAGAAGATGGGGAGAATTTTGCTTGTGGCGAGGATTCCGACTGCATCAACCGCGCTACAAAAATGGAGTGTGTCGCCAGCGGCAGCAATTGCGGCGGTGGTTGCCAGAATCAACGCTTTCAACGCAAGCTCTGGGCTGATGTTGCTGTCATCAAGACCGACAAGAAAGGATATGGTCTTCGAACCGAATCTTCTCTACAACCGAACGACTTTATTTACGAGTATGTTGGCGAGGTTATTAACGAGCCCACGTTTCGCCGACGTATGCTGCAGTACGATGAGGAGGGCATCAAGCATTTCTATTTCATGTCCCTGAGCAAGAGTGAATTTGTTGACGCAACCAGAAAGGGTAACCTCGGTCGCTTTTGTAACCACTCATGCAATCCCAACTGCTACGTGGACAAGTGGGTTGTTGGGGACAAGCTGCGCATGGGCATCTTTGCATTGCGCAAGATCCAAGCCGGCGAGGAATTGGTCTTCAACTACAATGTTGATCGCTACGGTGCCGAGCCGCAGCCATGTTACTGCGGCGAGCAAAACTGCGTTGGATTCATCGGAGGAAAGACTCAGACTGAGCGCGCCACCAAGTTGCCAACCACGGTTGTTGACGCACTTGGCATTGACGACGCCGATGGCTGGGATACCGCTGTTGCCAAGAAACCACGCCGCAAGCGACCCGAGGAAGATGATGAAGAGTATGTCAATAGCATGCCAGCCCGGAGTTTGGATGAAGACGGCTCGAGAAAGGTCATGGCCGCGCTTGTGCAATGCAAGGAAAAATGGATTGCCGTCAAACTTCTTGAGCGTATCCAGCGCTCCGATGATGACCGAGTCATCCACTCCGTCATGCGTATGCACGCCTACCAAATTCTCAAAACCACCCTCAACACGTTCATCGACGACCACAATGTTGTACTGCAGGTACTGGATATCCTCGACAAGTTCCCACGCATGACGAGAAACAAGATTCAAGACTCCAACATTGAAGCAACAATACAGCCCTTAACAGATTCGGAGCACGAGGATGTATCAGCGAAATCCAAGAAACTGCTGGACGACTGGAGTAAACTGGAAGTGGCATATCGCATCCGAAGGAGGAAGGTTGACCCCAATGCACCAGTTCAGAATCTTTTTGACGACCGGAGAGGACAAGCTCGCGAGGAAGAGACGGCCCAGTCAACACCGAAAACAGCATCACCGCGGCCGATTGACGCCCCAAAGGGCCCCAAGAGCAGTATTCCCCAGCGCAGTGTGTCGTTTCAGCATAACAACGTCAACCGGCCACCTCGACGCTTCGGACCACTCCCCGAGGGCTGGTTTACAGCCAAGGATGGCAGAGGTCACACCTATTACTACAACAAGCAAGGCAAAACCACTTGGAGCAGACCCACTCAACCCGCCAACGACGGACCAAAGGCGCCCTCCAAGGCCATACAGGAGCAACTAGCTATCCAAAGTATCATTGATCGCGTGACCAAGGAAGGGACACCGAAACAGACTCTGCCGCAACCAACTCCTTCACATGCCAGCGAGTCGTCATCCAAGGAATCCAGGAGGAGCAAGTGGAAGGCACTCCCTATTGAGAAGCAGATGAAGATTTATGAAAATACGGTACGCCACTTTACTGGTCCGTGATTCACGTGTGTTGAGTGAGCTAATCATCAAATAGGTCTTCCCGCCGGTCAAACACATGCTAGACAAATTTCGTCACAAGCTTCCGAAAGAAGAACTCAAGCGATTGGGTAAAGATATTGCCAAGAAGCTTGTAGCATCTGATTACAAGAACAACAGGGTGGAGGATCCAACAGCGGCCCTCAGCGAGAAACAGACCCTCAAAATAAAGAAGTATGTTAAGGACTTTTTAACACGGGCAGTCGAGAAGTATGAGGTGCACCAGCAGAAACAGGCTCCAAAGGATACCAAGCCAGGGAGCTCCGATGGCAAAACCAGCGACGCATCACAGAGCGTTGGAGCCGAGGTGGCGGACGACATTGCGCTCAGTGACATGGAAGAAAACGACTCCCCTAGTAGCCAAGAGCGCAAACGCAAAAGAGAGGCAGATGCGGCAGACTCGGCCGGCGCAACACCCTTCGAGGGACGCTTCGAGGGACCAGAGACGAAAAGACCACGAGCCGAAGACGGTACGGAGCCATCTCCTCCGCCTCCTCCGCCTCCTCCGCCGGATTCTAGCTCAGACGACACCCTAACGGAAGAGCAAAACGCGGAGCAAAGGGCCTTCAAGGAACAAGAAGAGGCACTCATGCGAGAGAATGAAGAAGCGCAACGGCTAGAGGATGAGGCCAACAAGTCCAAGGACATGGAAGAAAAAGCTGAAGAGATACGGAAGGATATAGTTCTTGCGGCATGATTATCTATTTACTAGTATCAGGTGAGGTTACATTTTTTTTTACGGAAGTAGGGGGGTTTGATACCAGAACAGGGACCTTATGGCATAATTGGAGTCAAGCTAGGCATTGTATCATCACTTGCTTTTTTTTTTATATGCGTTGCAGAAGCCGGGGTGAAGTGTGGGCTGGGCTGCATGTATTATTGGAGAAGATGGGGTGAGGCAAGCGAGTTTCTATACGGGACAAAGAGAGGACAAGAGAGGTAAAGTGAAAGCTTGGAGAAATGGTCGGGAACTGATAGATGAGATACCATGTTTCAATACCTGGATGTGCTAATATATCAAAACGCTATGCCGTGCAGTTACACCACGCCCGTCCCTATGTCCCAGGTTCATGTAATCCAGAGAATACTTTGTCAATCATCTTCATCTGACGAATCGTCGTCCCCTCTCCTCCTCTTCTTCTTCTGCTCCACGACCTCCCCCTTTCTCCTAAACACGTAGCTCCTCGCGCTCCTCTCCTCCCCCTTCCACCCGCCGCCCACCTCGCCCTTTTTATTCCGCACGGCGCCCAGCGTCCGCGCGTGCCTGTAGCCCGGGTACGCGGCGGCCTGGAACCGGAAGCTCCTCTCCACCTGCAGGCCCGAGTGGCGCCCGAGGTCGCGGATGTTCCAGAGCGTGTAGGGCTCGCCCTCGAACAGCGTGACGACGATGCTGCCGCCGGGCCGGAGCGCGCGCATGGCCCCCTTGAAGAAGGACACCAGCAGCTCCTGGTTGTACCGGACCTGGCGGTTCACGTCGGTCGACTTGCCGCCCACGTGGGGAAAGTTGAAGAGGACGGTGGAGTATACCGGGCGGGTGAGCGAGGCGGGAAGCTTGGCTGCGTCGATGTTGTAGAGGAGTCTGTTGTTGCTGCGGGATGCCGAGGGGGGGCTTGCGTCGTTTGGCGCCTTGCCGTGCGAGTCGGTGCTCTTCTCGTCGTCGTCGGTACCTCCCGCTTCGTCGTCGTCCTTGTCCTGCTGGGCTTTGCGGAGCCCTGTTATGACGGATATGTTGTCGTCTACGGACGGGTACTTGCCCGCCAGCTCTTGATGGTCCTGCTCCAGCACGGTGGCGGTGACGTCGACGCAGCCGTGGTGTCGGATTATAGACGCCGCGAAGCTCAGGTCCCCCTCGCCAATGAGCAGGATCTTGTCCTCGGGGTGGAAGGGGATGACGGGCGCTTCGTGCTGTTGCTGCTGCTGCTGGCGCGGCTTCTTGGGGGCTTGCTTGCTGGGAGTGGTGCCGGGTCGGGCGTGCAGGGTTGGTTTGGGCTTTTGCGCCTTGGGGTGTTGGCGCTGCAGCTTCCGGCGCTTCGCATTGGCCATCGGTCAATCGGTGTCTGGGGAGTACGGCGAGGTTCAGAGCGTATGGTGTTGCGACAAGTTTTATTTTTTCCCCGTGTGTTGTTGGTAGAAATCGATGCCGTCGTTGGGGGTGTAGGTCGAGATGAGGTCACTTTTTTTTTTTTGGGACTGTGACTTACAATGCTCGGTACGGCTACGGAGTACTACTAACTAATCTGCGGCGGTCCCCTGTTGACGGGTGATAGGTGGGCGCCGGAGCGGATCTCACGTGTGCTGCGGGACGGTCCAATCTGCTTGCTCCGTCTGCCTGTCCAATAGAGAGCGGCGGCGGGAGTTTGAAAAAAAAAAAGAAAGGAACTGCGGCTTCGGGTCATTGGCGTTGCCGCTTTGGGATGCGTTTGGTCGCACATTAGATTAACTCCGCAAAATCCCGCCAAATTCATTTTTACACTTTAGGGTTATTACTCTTTTTATTAAAATAAATCTTATAAAAATCATAAAAAATTAAGTTTTAATATTTTTAAATATATTTATAAGTCTAATAACTTATTTTATTTTTTATTATTTTTTTTATTTTTTAAATTTTTTTAAAAATAACCCTAAAATAACCCTAACCCTAATACATAATCCTCCAGATTGGTCTTTCCTGCTCAATCTTGCGTCCTGTTGCATCCCGTTGCGTCATGTTGCCGCCCAATCAATAACCGAGATCACGCCTCGGCATCGCCGTCTCCGCTCAACCTCGTCCTTTTCTTGGACCAGTCCACTGAGGATTTCAGTGTCATTCAAGTTTAGACTCCCATTCAACCATCACGTACGGTCGCACATTAGATTAACTCCGCAAAATCCCGCCAAATTCATTTTTACACTTTAGGGTTATTACTCTTTTTATTAAAATAAATCTTATAAAAATCATAAAAAATTAAGTTTTAATATTTTTAAATATATTTATAAGTCTAATAATTTATTTTATTTTTTATTATTTTTTAAGTTTTTTAAGTTTTTTTTTAAAAATAACCCTAAAGTAACCCTAACCCTAATATATAATTTTTAATAGTAAAAATATTTTAAAAAATTAAAATAAAATAATTATAAAATTTTAAAATAAAAATTATATATTATATGATTTTAAGAGAATTATTTAAAATTATCTTATATTTTTTTAAGTAAATTTTAAGTAGTAAAAATTGATTTAGCAGGATTTTGCGGAGCTTAGCTAATGTGCGACCGTAGATGCGTGTATATTGTGCTGTGTTTGTTGTCAGAGTTGGAAATTAAATCCCAAGAGTATATTCAGAAGGCTTGATTAATAATATGTGAAGTGGTGCATTGGATTATTTTCTTAATTTGTTTTCCCATCTTGATTTATTTTAATAATTACTGAATCACTTGTGCTCGTGGCTGGCTTACATCTGAGCGGGCCTATCAGTGGTTGACATGGCATGATCGTGACAACAGAACGATAGACCACGCAACAGCGGTCGAATCCTGTTGAGCAATGCAATTCCTGCTCCATCATCCAATAAATCATACTTGAAACCCAAGACGGATCAATGGCTTTGATATTGATGCAGCCGCATCTCGAGTTATCCAACACCCACATTACGTACGGATCACTAGTACCTGTGCCTTGGCCATCAACGGCTCCTTCCCAGCCAACAGCAGCCCCCCCGGTTGAAACACAGACGACTGGGCCCCCAGTCAGGCGACTCCCGCATACATTGATTGGCTGCCGAGCCTGCCGCCCGCGGGCACTAAACTGATTCGGTAAGAGATGACTTGGGTTCCCTGTCATTGATTGGTCCGGAAAAGAGGATACTCCGGGGGCCGCAAAGTTCTGTCGTACCCCTAAACTCTGTCATGGCTCCGGGGGTGCAAGTGACAGCGACGACGAGTGAAGCGTCCCTAGAGGCTCTCGAGTGCGACATGAGGGAAGGGAGGGAAAGCGTAACAGTGTAAAGCCAGCCACTACATGGGAATTGATCTAGGCAGCGAGGTGCGGTCGCAGGACGTGATGGCAAAACTTTGAGTGCGTCGTGTGGTGCTAGTAGAACTCTGGTGCCGAAGACGGCTAGACTGCGAGGCTGTATGTAATATACATGCCGGTATCCTGGATCGTGATGTTTGCGCAGAAGGCGGCCGTACATCAGTGTCGTGACATGTGTGAGCAATTAAGTTATTTTTTTTTAACCTTGGGCACAGAGCCACTCTATTGTCAAGCAGCCTTTGTGCGACGACTTTGGGCAAATTCGGAACCTGCTTTGTACTTGAAGACTGGCGTTTCAACACATGATGCGGTACCTGCATCAGGTCCAAGACCAAAGAGCTTGCGCCTGCTTCCCCCCCCCCTGGTGCGAACCCGTTTGACGAACAGTCTCACAGCGTTGGAATAATATAGTGTAGAAAGGTAGGATATGCTGCTTGGAGTCTGGCCCAAAATTCGTCTATGTGCTGCGTAACGCGAGGCGGGAGTTGCGACATGTGCAGCAAAATGGTTCGTTTGAATAGCGCCGCTGCGTCTCAGATCAGCCCTGCTGCGCGTGCGCTTGTTCCAAGGACGTCCTACAATACTCCGTAGATTATGTACCTGTGTATTCATAATGGTGCTAGTAAATTAGAGTTGCTCTACTTCGTTTTCCTTCTTTGTGGTGCTGGTCGAAGAGGGCGGATCGTTTGTTTTGCAAAAGGCTCTTTCGGACTGGGCATCAGGTTTTTTTTCTTTGCCTCGCTGCGAGACAACAGCCACATCAGGTTTCCCTGGATGTAGATATTCACTGCGAATTCCCTAATAACACAGTGACATGATTGCCATTGATTTTTGCCTTTTTTCTTCCGTCATCGGGCTGCTTGTTGTGTAGCCTCGTCGTTGTGATTCAGGGTGGCGAGCAAACCTGCAAAGTGTAGACAAACGCTCCCGCTGCCGTGGCCTCGACGACTGCCAGGCTGCACCAAAGGCCCTTGGACCAGGACGCTAGTGAACATGTAGCGGCGACCAGGGAAGTATACGTCCATGTGCTAAAGAAGAAACGGACTCTTATATTTAGCCCTCGGTCTTTATTCGCACCGGCAGAGGCCAGTCTGCGTTCTTGCGAGCTTTGTATTCGACAAATCGGCTCCCGCGCTGCGGTATCCCCTAGCAGCCTGATACACGACGATTGGTGCGGGTCCCCATGCTCCAGGAGGTACCCCGGCCGCCCCCGGTACCTCGTCGAGTCCCGCAGACGAGGCCCAGTTGCACGCGTCGAGCGACGCAGCCAAACGCAGCAGAGCCAGACGCAGCCGGATCCTCGTCCGTACTGGCCGCCAGCCCAAAAAAGGTCCCCGAAAAGGTCACACCTCGTCGTTTTCTTCTAATCATCTATTCTTGCAAGTCACCGCCATCCACGCCCGCCGCGTCTCGCATCACCATTGCACTCGGCAGAGTCTTGAGCGGCAGTGCATCGAGACGGCTCTCTATTTCTTTTAATCATCTGCCTTGGCGCTGATTGACGGTCGGCGCTGTGTGTTTTTGGCTCACTTGCACCCGGTTGGCTGGGGCAAGGCTTTTGCTCTGCCTGGGCCCTTCGGGAGACGCCAACTGGTTCGCCAACTGGTTCCCTCTCACACTTTCCACTTTGGCACACATTGAACTTGACTTCTTTGGCCGCACCTGCACTTGAGCGGACCGACATACACACACACATCCGCATCCACATACACATACACTCACACTCACACACACACCACACATCTCTCATAACCTCACCACCCGCATCCTTTTTTTTTTAATTGTTTGCCATACACCCCTTTAATATCTCTCCACTATCATCGTCTTCTCCTCCTCCTCCTTCTTTCCCTGCCTCTCACCACCTCAGATACATGATCCGGCTCCGCTGCTTCCGCCATGGCAGCTGAGACTTCGTCGCCCGCGCGCGAGCCCGCCACATCAACCCGTGGCCGTGGCAGAGGCGGGCGAGGTGGCCGTGGTCGAGGTCGAGGAGGTGGTAGAGGCGCCTCAAATGCTGCCTTGTCAAAATCTACTACTGCCTCTCGTGGTCGAGGAGGCACGCGCAGGGGGAGAGTAAAGAACTTCTCCGACTCGCGTGTACAGGCCGCTTATGAGCGCCAGCGCGACCTCAAGGCTACCTATCAAGCTGTTGCTTTTGCCCTCAAGCCTGCCCTTCAGGAGCTTGCCGAGCGTAGTGTCGAGGAGATGCTGCAGAAGCCAGACTGTTACAAGCAGGCCAAGGAGTATCAGCCCATTGTCCAGCAGCTCAAGGAGAAGCTTGATAATAAGCTGCGCGAGTGTGACCGTCGCCTGGAGTGCGATCTCAACCTCGCCGAACACAGCTTCAATGCCGATAAATATGTTGCTGAACAAGAATTCAAGGTTCGTTTTCCCTCTTCAGCCTTGTTTCCTATCCGTTTGGGACGCTTGCCATGCTAACACGCACTCTGCAGAATGCTCTCAGTGACATAATGGAGCAATACTACGAGGGCCAGGAGAATCGCTTGCGCATCCTCGCCGCCCTTCATTCCAAGGATCTACCCGTCGATGTAAGACTTCATCATACTAAAGCTGTCATTCTTATTATTTTTTTTTTCCCCCAACTTTTGTCCCCTCCGTTTTATTCCGTCATCCCCCTCTCCTTATCCTGAGTGAATATCATCGCTGACGCCACTCCCCCCTTCTTAGGTTGAGGATGAACAATATGATTTTCGCGTCATTAGTGACGCTGAGCTTGACAACGACTTTGGCATTTATGAATGCTACAAGAATGGCCATCTCGTTCCTTATCCCTCCCGTGTCGCTGGTACTGAAATGTGGAGAAAGGCCCGCGACCCCGAAGCCTCTGTTGCTACACCCAGGGAATCGTCGGCAGCTCCCACACGAGGTAGAGGCCGTGGTCGTGGCGGCGCTGCCAGTGGCATTAAGCGCAGAGCTGTTGACCAGCCAGATGGCCAGTCAACACCAAAGAGATCGACTCGTAACGTTGATGATAGTCAGCTGCTCGCTCCCGCACCCATTGCCCCAGCCCCCA